GAGATACTACGCCACGTACACCCACGTACACGCAGCGTACACACAGATACCACGCACGGTACACGCAAGTGCACGCGCGTGTTACACGCACGTACACGCGCGCGTACACGCGGTTACACGCACGTTACACCGCGGCGTATACCGCACGTACACGCGGATACACGTCCAGCGTACGACGCGGGTACAGCACGTACACACAGCCATACACGCACTACACGCGTGGTACACGCACGTTGTAGCGTTGTCCCGCGTTTACGTGGTGTATCGTGCGTGTACCCGCTGTTACGTGCGATGTATCTCCGTGTACCCGCGTGTATACGTGCGTGTACCCGCGTGCACGTGCGTGAGTACCGCGTGTACTGCGTGTATCTGCGTGTACGTCGCGTTGTACCGCGTGTTTACGTGCGTGTATCCTCCGTGTACGTGCGGTGTACCCGGCGTGCACGTGCTGTACCGCGTGTCGTGGTGTATCTGTGTGTACGTGCGTGTATCTGCGTCGTACGTTGCTGTGTACCGCCGGTGTACGTGCTGTGTCTACGGTGCGCTGTATTACCGCCGTTGTAACCCGCGCGGTACCTGGCTTGCGTGTACGTGAGTGTACCCGCGTGTACGTGCGTGTACCGCGTTGATACGTGACGTGTATTCCGGGTTTACCCGCCCGTGTACTGTGCGTGTACCCGCGTGTACTTGCCGTCGTACCGCTGTGTACGTGCGTGTATCCGGCGTGTACCCGCCGTGTACGATGCGTGTACTATGCGCTGTATCCGCAGTGCACCCGCGTGTAGCTGCGGGTGCTACCGCCGTGCACGTTGCGTGTACCGGTAGTACGTGCGTTGTTATCTGCTGTTGTACGTGCGCGTGCTATCTGCCAGGCCACCGGCCGTGTACGGTGCCCGTGTACCCGCCGTGCATACGTGCGTTGTACTGTGACGTGTACGTACGTGTATCCGCGTGTACCGCGTGTACGTGCGTGTTACGTGGCGTGTACCTGCGTGTACCTGCGTGTACCCGCCGTGTACCAGTCCCCTCGCACACGTGCGGATTACTGGTTACATAGCCATGGTTACACACACAGCCACTCCGCAGACGCTGTGCAATCTGCCACACGTGGAAGAAAATATCAAACACGTGTTATATTTTCCACACGCAAGAAATCGCTGTGTTTGCACGCGCACACGCTGTGTTTTGTGCTGCGCCATCAGCCACGCGTGGCCGATGGCGCAGCACAAAACACAGCGTGTGCGGGAGGCTTTACGCTACATTGGCCGTACATTGGTAAAAGATAGGTATCGGCGGTTGACGCTTTAGCCACCCAATGCAATGCTTTTCAGCCAATTTTTGCGCTTAAAAAACACATGAGCATGGCCGAAGGACACGTCACATGAAAATGTAAGCCCCATGTCTGTCTTTGTTAATGTTAGAGTGCCTTGGCTTGGCTGAAGTAACGCTAATGAAATTTACATAGCCAATAGATGGCATGTATGCTACATGACACATGGAGCTATATGAGTAGTGCCCGCAGGCGCTTGTCACATGGTTAGTTAGATAGTTAAGGATAATGGGTTGTAATAGGCCTAGCCTAGACATAAGCGCGACTTTAATGTGCACCCATATCTGGCGATTTCCTGAATCGGTCGATTCTGGCCTCAAATTCGTTAGTCGTGGTAGCTGCGACTGCACTTTGTGGCAGTTTATTGCAGGGTTGCACCACTCTCTGGCTGAAAAAGTTTTGTCGCACCTGGAGTCTGGACCGTTGTTTATTTAGTTTCATGTTATTTCCTCTTAGTGATGTTTTTGAGGCTGGACAAAAGAAATTGTTTGGATTCAGTTTATATTTCCCTGTCATGATTTTGTATGATTCTATTATAGGTCGCCTCTTAGTCGATCTTCTGGTATGTAAAAATTGTAATCCTAAAAACTTTAGCCGGTCCTCGTAGTTGACGTTTTTTAACCCATATACTAGTTTGGTGGCCCTTCGTTGGACCTATTCCATGTGCTTAATGTCCTTACTAAAGTAGGGAGGCCAGGGCTGGATGCAGTACGTACTGGTGTGGACGTATAAATGTTTTGTATATAATCAAGAAAGCTTTCTTGTCCAGGAACTTGAAGGACTTCCTGATTGACCGTAATACGTTGGTAGCTGTACAGGCTGCCTTTATGCACTGCATCATAGGTTTCATGTCGTTAGATATCCAAACCCAAATTTCCTTTTCCTCCTCTTCCACCTTCAAATTTCTTCTTTGGTCCCCGTCTTTCATTGTGTAGTTATATATATTTGTTATTTTTACTGCCTATGTGCTGCATCCTTTTGCATTGCTGTTGTTACCATGGTCGTGACGCATACGGCATAAAAACTAAAACTAAAGATTCAAGATTCAAGATTCAAATAATTTATTTGTGCATAAGACATATTTACATTCAGTATACAACGATACATATTAGAATGAAAGGTCACAATACATAATGTGATAGATATAGCACTGGGGTGGCGAAAGACCCTCAGGTCATCAAAGTCTGCCACCCCTAAAAAACAAAAATATTAGTATATAAACAGGCAGCTGAATCATATGACTACGAGTTCAGTTAATAAAGCTATTAATTACGATAAGATCTATCTAGGTATACAAGAATCGACAAATATAACACCTCGTTAGTGTACGTAGGATGCAAGGTTCAAGTTGATTTTGATTTGAGTATTAAACGTATTTATACAGTGTGAATAAGATGAGAAAAAAATAAATAAATTATACTAAATAGTACATACTCATTATATGTACAGCACACGTTCATAAACATAGTTACAAAGTTCATAAATTAGAATGTACAGCATATAAACAACATCCAACAGACTTATACAATACTAGGTTATAATACTACAACTTCTACAGCAGACAATAAGTTCAAGGTATTTACATATATATAGTTGTAATAAGCTATTTCTAAGAAAAATATTTGAATTTTGGGAAGGGTAAACTTTTATATATACAGGAATGTGCAGGTATGACGCTCCAGAGTTTAACAACACGAACTTTAACAGATTTTTTACAAGAACGCGGTTTTTATACCTTGGTAGGTGATATGACATTGATGAATTTATACAGTGTGATTCATTGTAAGATGAAAACAAATTAAAACGAAATAGTACATACACATTATAAGTACAGCACACGTTCATAAACGTAGTTACAAAGTTCATAAATTAGAATATACAACATATAAACAACATAGAACAAGCACTTATACAATATTAAAGTATAACAAACAATAACTGAAAGGCATTTACATATATAGTTGTAATAAGCTATTTCTAAAAAAGTATTTGAATTTTGGGAACACTTTGTTTTAGTCTCATATGTCTAGTTTTCGTTTTGGCAATGAGGCGTGAATAAATCTCGCTGTGAAGCCCCAATGATAAGAGAGGATAGTGAGAAAGCATAGATTCCGTTATTTACCTATAGGTGGCGCACTTCAATATGGCTGCCTCTGTGACCGATCTTGTGGACCAAGCGTTTCAGCAAAAAAGACACGAATTAGTACTCACAGGACCAGCTGCCGCTAGCGAAGTAGAGGCAGATGGATTAGATGAAAAGCTATTCACCATAACAACGTTGAATTTTCTAGAAGTTAGTAAATGTGACCTAAAAATCGCTAGTGAGAATTTGTCCAAACTTGTAAATTTAACTAGCCTCGTCTTACATAGCAACAAGCTGAGCAGCTTGCCGGATTCTATCGGCAAACTCATAAAATTAAAACTGCTCGACGTCTCAAGAAATGAACTGGAAGAATTGCCAGAGACCCTCGGCTCGCTGGTGCAACTGCAAACTCTTGACGTCGGCAACAACAAACTGGAGTCCCTTCCAGAAAGTATATGCGAGTTGAAGAATCTGGGTCATTTGGGCATCTCACACAACTCCTACAAGCATTTCCCGCCGGTTATATGCGACATCCCCTCCCTCATGCAGATAAAAGCTGGTGACAACCAGATCACCGATGTACCACCGGAAATCGAGAACCTTTCTCTACTAAAGTTGCTCGACCTGACGAACAACAGTATCAAAGTCCTACCGGGCGAGCTTGGAAACTGCGCAAAGCTAAAGCAAGATCTCCTCATGACGGGAAACAAGTTGAGCGACAAGCGACTGGAGAAACTCTTCGTGCAGGGTAAAGCTAAAGCGGCGATCGAGTACGTACGCAAGAATTGTCCGAAGATGGCAAAGGCTGGCGCCGCGGGAGCCGGCAAGGATAAGGATAAAAAGAAGAGAGGCAAGAAAGGGAAAGACTCGGATGCTGGTGGAGACGCTCCTAATCTTCCTACTGTAACGGTGCTCCACTGCAGTGACGACACCATCAGCGTTAAGATGACTCCAGCTGCTGGCGAAACAAGGCCCTTCATCGTATGCTGCGTGATCAAGAATGTTAACTTGGGCAAAGGGAATAGCTTTAAGACATTCATCGCATTACAGGTAATGTGAAATAGCCTTATGTGTGAGGCAAAACTTGCATGACATCATAGACCTACATGGATACATTGTACAACATGAACTGATCAGTGTTTGTAAATTGTATCTGGTTGTATTTGTGTGATGCTTTTTAGATAATGTTCTTTATATGGTTGTATTTTCAGACAAAGATTCATGATACCGTCTGTGCAAAGAGGGCATCTGCTACCTTAGCAACACATGACATGGCATTGATCAAGGGCAACGTGACTTACGACGCACGTGATCCAGATAAGATTAAGGTTTCGACATTTTTTTGCTAAATTCGGTGTGGTGCCTGATATGGACACTGAATTAAATTCATAGCATCACTTAAAATTGAGAAAAATGACATAGTAACTATTTTAATGTATCCCCATATTAAGAAGTTGTGCACAAATTGTAGATTCATCCGCTATTCCAAAAGAGTGACACAACAGCGAAAGAACTGTATGTTAAACTTCGAAATGAAGCAGAGGCTCAACGTAGAGAGAAGAAACGAAATACCTATTCTGGGATCCATAAGTAAGTAGCGTAGAATATGCGTTATTGTTATACTGTACAATATAATATGCTCATCGTAGAATTTCCAACTGCGAATATTTGTTGAATATTATTTAATGATAAATCTATCCAAAACAATCATTATTGTGTCATTTTCCTGACAATTCTGGAACAGTTTGCAGTAAATACTGAAGAATGGATATCTCCACCAGTTTGTCATTGCAATAATTATGTTGAGTAAATACCACCGAGCCCTGGTTAACATCCATATAAAGTTTTATTGTTTTTTCAGGTATCTTTACTTATTGGCAGGCAAAAGCCAGTTTGCTTTTGTCATGGATTCAGAAAATCGGGTCATTTCACTACCTCCTTTAACGAATTCCGATACCACAAAGGTATTATATTTTATTTAGAGCCTTAATTTTATAAGAGGCAACTTTAAGCAAAATTGTCGATATATCATGGATTTTAAAACGATGGGAGTTTGCATTTTGGTGTCGTCCTAAACTGTATGAATTTGGGTCAGAACGCTATCTGACAGGACCTGCTTGGAATATTTTAACTGTCCGCTTTCACTGCATTTTTGTCCCAATTTTTTTTCCTTTAATGTTGCTCCCTTTTATGTACAAAACAGATTTCCCCTGAGACAAAGGACATTTTCATTGAAGTGACTAGCAGTGAAGATGTGGGGTCTTGCAAGAAAGTTGTAGATGCTCTCTTGTTAGAGATGCTCAACAATTTCATCTTCTCCACTGCTGAGGCCAACAGTAATGCCACAGAAGGTATTTTTATCGCCTTTTCGATACAAGTTCAGATATAGAGGAAGCTGAACGATTTACTCCGATTTGTAGCACCCATAACTGAAAGTTGATTTGCTTTTCTACATTGTAAATCCTTTGAATATCATGTTAAAATGCTTAGTCGAACAGAAATGGCCAAGTTAAAAGATCAGTCTGTGAGTTTATCTATTAAATTACGAGTATATAATGTTTTCCTATCAATAGTTCAATTGTTAATGATATAGTATTGTTACTATAATTTCTTCAGAGCCAAGTTGCGAGGAAAGTCCCGCAGAAGATGGCAGACATCCCGGTAGTCTAACTGTTGAGCAGGTGCGGATCTTGGATCCCGAGGGACAGCTAAAAGTCGTCTACCCGTCACGGATAGACCTGCAGCTAGAGGGCGTTTCTGTGGTTCGTGACTATAAGTGACCACAGCAAACGTGATTTAAAAAAAGAGCTTGTTGTGTTGCTTCATGTGTGCCGCAGCAAAGAAATCTTCTGCAGAAAAGATACCATGAGTTATGTAACTCCCTGTGCATCCTCCTCACTGTTATCAATGTGTCGTCAAGATTTTTAGCTGGTTGATAACGGGAATAAGTGCTGGATTATTAAGTTTTTTTACAATACTTATTAATCCTAAGCAAAATTAAGTCAATTATGGGAAATATACTGCTTTTTAATTTTACTGTTTGGTTGGCAGTAACTAGTGGTTCCATTGCTGCAAATGACATTATATGAAAGGACTTCACAGTAATGTGCAGCAGTGGCTTGTTATAGAAAGCAGGTGGTTTGTTATCAATCGTTGTTAAAGATTTTCGAGTAATTTTCTGACCGGTTGATTATAGTACCTTGGCCGTAGCTTTTACCACGCTACTTCTGTAGTGGCCTTATATGTTAGTACTTATGGTGCTTACATTCTTCCCTCCCTCACCCTTCCCTTAATTTGGGAAATTCTTACTATTTTTCGAACGCTACAAAAAATTCCCCTGTAAGTGAATCGAGGAAAACGGATTGATTTGTTGCTTGTTATGCTGCAGCTATTTAATGTGTATGAAACTAGCAGAAAACATTCAATATAATAATGTTTATACGCATATATAAATACACTACTTTTAAGCATTTCTTTCTCAGTTACCAGTATGGGCAGTGGTTTGATATGCAAATAGATTTATGTAAAAAAAGTACATTGCAACCAATTAACTTTATTACATTAAAGTTGGTAAACGTTTAAAATTGACTACGTCACGAATTTTCTATGGTGTGTATTTGTAAAAAAAAATTCCAATCACAGCCTATGCCGCACCCGTGTTTTTATAAGTTGAAAGGTAGGACCCATTACAGCACCAAATCGACGATCTCAGGAACTAGGGCATTCTGCTAGGCTAGAACGGTTTCCTACGATAGAGTTTGGCACAAATACGAAAATAACACGCCGTTTAGCGCAGTGCGCTACGTCCTTCTGTTGCATTTTCGCATCTCTGTAATCAGAATAAGCCCTGCCTTCTTCGTTGATGGGCATGAATGGGGCGTCACCGACGTCACCAGTTCTTGTACCTACTGTCTTTCGCCAGCCTGTTTACTTTTCGTAAATAATGAAATGCCCGGCCGATGCATTTCGCATCGAAGTGGAAAAATTCGGCATTTTTAACCGCTTTCGGAAGTGAACAAGTACGTCATTCATTGAGCATTGAAGTTTTTCTTAAAATTAAATAATTCCGAAAATCCCTAACCGCGCTACTCGATTGTTTTAGCCAATGAACGTAGCTGTGTGTGTGACGTCTTGCCCGCGCGCTTTATGCTTGGCTTAGCGGGCCTCGAAATGGATATCGGAGGCAGGCACCTCGCAACCCGCGTGTTTGTTTACATATAACTTTGTGACATGAGAATGGGCGGTGTTGGGGAGTTCTGCGATGATAACCTCGTAATTTCTCAGAATTTTTTTTCCATGGAACATTTTACCAATTTAGTGGTGTCAGTGACAGTTAGTCACCGATATGTCACAGTAAGTACTAACTGTATATGTTTCACATACGTTCACCTATTTTGCACACAGGCAGTCAATCATTGTGAAAATTTTTGTGAATATTTATTTTTATTGAGACGTTCCAAGTGCCTGTGCTTGCAACGGTCTTGTACGTCAATGCACGTGCGTCAGGAGCCACAAACTCAACACAATTTCATCTCTGTTATTGTTTACGTAGTATGCGCGTCACTACCCCATCTCTTATCTACTTCCGCCGGCCGCGGAATTAAACAAACGACACTATATTATATATCGGGCCCTATATATTAGATAATGGCAAACTATTGCAGTTATTACAAACACACCTATAGGCGTGTCTTTGTGAGCTTACTATAATATTTAGCGCAGCAGCTGAGAACAGCTGCCCAGTTTATAAGCTATATTTACTAGCCCTCCGTGTGTGTATCCGAGTTTTAGTTACACAATACTGAAACCAGGCGTATACACCATTCCATTTCTTATTCAAGCCCGCTTTACCTGTGCCAGACTTCTGACTCTTGAGTGAGATGAGGCTCTATCTCTTTTAATGATAGCACGGGCGTAATAACTACTAGTATATGCCATTGTATACATTTATAGTTAATTCGACGTAGGTATATGAAAGGTACCTCAGGTTAAACTGTTTCCCCCGGTGCATCCCAACCATTGTCCGATCTTAGGCTAACAAAGGATAACTTCAGGTGTGTTGCTATCACACCACGTTGCTAATATCTCTGACTAGCGCCCAACAACCTGAAATTCACTGATAAATAAACGTAGTTGTGCGTTATATATATATACTATATATTATAGTAACCTATATTCGTATATTACTATAGTATACCTACCCTATAGACAATTTAAACGCACAACATACAAATTCGCT